GGCCGAAAACATTACAATTACAATTCACGATACCACCTAGTCATTAGTTATATTAAATGTAACCCTTCCTAGTTTCAAATGCTATGAACTTAGCGTCTAGTGAGGGGAAGTCATGAAATTCGGAGGATAGCCACTGTCATCTGCTAAGGTAGTAACCTGCAGGGTATTGAAAGACAAGTCACACTATATCCCAGTTAGCTTGCAAATGGTGTAGCCCAGCTGAGGTCCCCCATGACTCAGTAGCTTAAGCTACTGACTAGTTGACATCTGCTTCTAGCGGTCATGGGTTTGATCCCCTGCAGGGGATCGAGGGAATGCGCACAAGTGATGAGCCCCATTAGGGAGAAATGCGTCTGGTGCTTTACCGGACTAGACGGTTCTACGTAGCTTGTGAGCAGCTGGGAAGGAAACATTGCAATTACAAGTAAAAAATCCTCCTACTCATTAGCAAATTACAATTTTCTTGAGCTGTGTGGCTAGAACATATTTCGGGTAACTTTACTCTCCAGTCGGATGCAACACACATACCTGTCACCGTTTTTTGAGCGATTACTTACCAAACACGAGATTGTCTACTGATGAAGGCCTGCAGTCAACCGTTTGACGTTTTAAAGTCTGGGTTTTGCATTTCTTTTGCGAATTCCAATGTTCATTCTTGAGTTATTGGTCCAGATATTGGGATTTTTCCAGCCCGTCCCAACGGACACCATTTCTAGCAAAGTGCGTCTATGTCTTCGTTACCCGTTTTTATACTATGCTTTCTTTTCTGTCTTGGTGCGTTGTTCTCAAAGTCATACCAAAACTAGGCTTCCTTCCTACTCCGCAATTATCCGCCAACGTTCGTGAGCTTTTTCCTTCTTGACTTGGTCAAAGCACAGCTATTATTCTTCAAGTGTTTAAAGACTTTTGGCCCAGCTGAAATGGAACTGGTCATTTTATCCTTCGTAATAACCTTCAAAAAGGCTATAGAAATGAGCAAAGATATTCTGTAAGGGCATAGCTCAACAATACCCGCCCAATGCTGACAAGCGACTGGTTACACAGTAAACAAATGCACATAGTAAGTGATGGTCACAGTTCTTGAGACTGTGCAACATTAGCACAAAACCCAGAGTGCGCGAGGAAGTCCCACGGCTCTTTTATTGGGCAACATGGCTTTTTGCGATTCGTTCACTGCACAGCCCATGACGGGATACATGCGTTAGTTACATAGGGTGATTTCCAGGGGGGAACTTGTCACTGAACAAGTCTGGTGTGAAGGCTGTATGACCCTTGGGATGGGAATAAACCAGTGGTATTGAGGGAGTCACGCCACGTGAACTGGTCAATTGCGACAACGGGGGTATTAACAAGCCTAGGGGGAACCGAATGAGACACAGTGCGTGAACCTGGGAGACAATGAATCAGTGCAGGGCACCTGGTGTGGTTTACGGGGAAATTATGACACTATGAGATGAAATCTAAGCTATCTGTGCGGTACGGTGGTAGAGTTTCATGACACCTCTACTCGCAATCTCGGCCTGTCGTGCTAGTGGTGGTCGCCTTGAGCAGATGCTAGAAAGCCTAGGGACCACAAAAGCGTGATCGGGGTTGCGTTGGCCAGGTAGACGTCATAGGCAGGTCCAGACCAATGAGAAATTATTGGCAAATCGTTGGGGATATTTCTAACTTGTCTCCAAAGGCAGGTGGTCTCCATAGGCAGGTGGCCGCCAGAGCAGGTTGGACTGTATATGTATTTAACCGGAATACTCATCTAACTGATAAAAAAGTGCATGGTAGATTTTTTGACAGCTCACGACAGAGACCGACAACGTGATGGGATCATACTACACAACATAATCGGATAGGGAAAAAGACGGTTTATGTTTCTCAAAGTAGTTCTCAACGGAGTTTTGAGATGCTTAAGCAGTTAAAAGGAATTAAAAGAAGAAATTAAGAGTTGGAATAGGCGTACCTGTAGATAGCAGTTCAAGAAAAATAGTACGACCACCTGTGCAGCCGTCTCCTGGGGACGTACTTCAATGCTGAGTAGTCCCTCGAAACTTTAACTGCACTTCCACCATCTTGTCATGTGCTAATGTGACTTAAAAGTAAGGAAGCCGTCATTTTGTAGACACATTTAGGGGCGGCATTCACGCGCAAATATGTCATCGTTATCTTAAAACGTTTTATAGCCGCTGGTGTAAGCAATTAAGCGTTCATTAATGTGACTCTTTCAGGGCCGCTGATATATGCTAAGCACTTTTGTCATACACTCCATTCCACCTTACAGCTATATTTAACCAAGTCAGTCGCCCTGCCTCCCACCACATGGCTGATCATCAATGTAAGACTTTGAAATTCTACACGTAATGCCTATCGAGACCTCGGTTTAGTTTGAACTTTATCTCGGTCCTTCCGTACCTGAAACGGAAGATTTCAATGTGGCTCAATCCCAACACTCTACTCTAAGTCCACTTTCATACCTGATTACGTTCACCGGGTAGAGATCACAGAACGGCTACTAAAATTTGGGACTCTTGTGATTGCAGACAAAGCCTCTGCCCCTAAACCAGTAAGCCGCTTCGGGCAGCGATTGTCACAGGGGGTAAGTACTGAGTAATGGTATGTATGAAACACTCGTTGTGTGAAGTGATCGCAGCAGTAAATTTCAAACTGGACTTGATTCATTTCCAAGTGCAGTTTTGTCATTTTGGCCAATGAAGTCGCATCTGAAGCAGACGAATGCTAAGTGAATATTATTGGAAACACTCAGCTGCAATAATGGTCCATGGAAAGGCTTGGTGATGAAGTCCAGGAGTCAGTAAAGTACGACATATAGGCCGAATCGGGTACGCGAAGTCTGTTCATCCGGTCCGCCTACTGTACCCGAATTTTCTTGGTAAGGCTTATGGAACATGAGATTGTGATACAATCGATATTTGACACTGCCTGTCATATTGTATGTGATCTCACATTGTTTGTACACTAACGTGAGCCAGCTCATTTTATTGCTTTTGACTTCGTGCCACCGTACTATTAGTGATGTGTGTGATTATGCATGAAACCCATTCATCCGTGCATCCTACTGTGTTCCTAGCACAAACACCTTTGTGCCGCAATTATCCGTTGGTCAGCTCCTTTGAAGCAAGTTTGACAAAACGCCAACTTCCAATACACCATTAGTTTGTGCTTATCTTATTTCAAGCCATATTTCTTAACCATTTGGAATGAATTTCAGGTGGCTAGTATGGAAATGCTTCGTAAGTATACAATGTTAAGTTCCGTACATTTGTCTACCTTCCAATGCATATGAGCAGCATCGGTAAGCGCTTTCAGCAACTTTGGTTGATTTGGCTCTATTGAAATAGTTTTGCTCAGACCTGCCAAACGCGTTTCGGTTATATATATATATATATATATATATATATATATATGGTTGACGGCATCCGGTTTCGGATTTGTTTGTCAATGTGACCAGCCACAGAACGCCTGCGCCCACAGAGGGACCATGGATGGTTTGCGCTGCACCAAGCACAACTCCATCCACACACCCCACATCCAGTGTAAACGCGAAGGAATAAGACCGGGAGGCATGCTGATGGGAACCAAGTTTCATTAATACATATATATATATATGCATATATAATTAGGTATATATATATACATATATATATATATTGTTGTGCATGTGTGGGTACGCTCCGTTGATGTAACGTGGCTCACATGCTTATGCATTCCGGTCTTATTCCTTCGTGTTTACACTTCTGTGAGGGGTGTGGATGGAGCTGTGTGTTGCTGCGCAAACTAACCACGGTCCATCTGTAAGCGCTGACGTCCTGTGTTTATGCTATGAGGACCTAGGTGTCAGCCAAATCCGGAATCGGATGCCCCCAATCATATGATGTTGCAGACGTTCAAAGTCACAATGAACTTACTAGGTAACCTGGTGAGCCGTAGCTCCAACAATGACCTACTTCCTATGTTTCTCCGATGGATTTTTATTATGTTTGTAATTTAACATCCCTTCCTTTTACAGATCCCCTTTACTTCAGACTTCCCTAAGGCTAATGAGCAGTGAAAAGCAAACACCAAGTTTCGCATTTCCTTGGTCCTTTTTCTCAGTATTCTCTTTCTGGCATGCAAGTATACTGCATAATACGTATGGCCTGTTCTCTGGCCATCAGAATTAATTTGTTCTATTTATCCGGCCCACTGTGAAAAATGGTTGGTGGCCTCTGGTCCAAACAATGGCCTATATGGAAAGCGGAGCTATTTTGCGTTAAAGTTGTGTCCGTAAAATAAAAGACCGGGTATGCAAGACCTATGGCGTTCTCACTTGTACGCATCTTCTGTAAAACATAGTGCACTCCCCTACGAATGATAGAGACCAAGTAGCAAACGACGGGTGGACTTAAAATGGTAAATTGGCTTCAGTATAGCCGTTAGTAACTGAGGCGCATTTGTCCACTTCAAACTCAAATCACGGAATGAGGCAAGTCTTAATCGATGATGTCTGAAAGAAAATACTGGGACCTGATTAATACTTGACAACCATTACGAATTTCTCGTATTGAGCTCACCGTTCCCTTCTCACTATTGCGTATCTCGGTAGCATGACATTTGTTAAACAGGGAACATCACATGTAAGACATTTTCAGCCCGTCGTAAGCACAAAAATTTGAATTCTCGTGGTACTGTGTGATAGCACTCCGGCTTTAATAGCTCGAATTGCAAAATGTGGGACCCCCTTGGAACCAAACAACCATCCACGTGAATTTTTCTTTGTGTTTCATATATGTACCCGACCGGTTGCTCAACCATTAATCAGGCGTACAACATTCGAGGTAATATAGATGATAATTACTCACGTGACGATGAGCGCGCTTGATGGTTGCACAGTGATTTTCAACCACTAGTTCTTGTGCTCCGAGCAGATGGCCAATTGGAATAGACTTTAGAGTCCAAATATAACCAGTCAAGTGATAGCGGGTACTTTTGTTGCTTGCAAAGAAGACATCCAATTTTGTATCCAGGTTTGTGTATGATTTGCTACTTCTCCACTGTAAAGCTAGACATTGACTCAGTGACCAACCCATTTTTAATTGACAGTTCAGTTAGCGTAGTTTTCAGCGTGTGGCAACGAAGCCGTGAGCCCCAAGTTCAGGTGCTTTTTGTGACCAAAAACACATGCATCCCTCATTTCAGGCATAGTTTGGAATATTTCTTTCTCTTTCCTCCAATGTCAGATAGTCTGCGTTGATAAGTTTGGAGTCATATACCCCATTTTTAAAGTCTTGGGTAACTGTCTAAACTGTTGCGATTGTCGGTAATACGGTATTCCATGGCATAGTATCCAGCTATCATCTACACAAAAATCTATGCAAACAGTGACTTGAGCCAGTAGATCTCAACGGATGACTATGGCCTAAGTGTCTAAATAACTAATTATGATTTACTACCAGTAATAGATATGACCAGCTGTATGCAGTAACCTTTGTCTATGACTGACAGCTCCTTCTGCACTGGCGTAGTTAACACTCTCATGAGCGCGGTTAGTGTTGGAGAGTACTTTTACCTACTGACGTTGCCGGTATTGTGTAGAACACGCCGCGCTATGTTCTAGTGAAAGACTGTAAGGAACAAGCTCACAGTGGGAAAACTTGCTTCTTTTGAAAGTTCAGCATGTTCTGTACATATTTATGGCGGTAACCCACAATTAGACAGCAGGTACGGATTTGAGAACACGTTTCGGCTTGTACACGTACACGAGTACAGCCAATTAATAGGTAATCAGCTGATATACGATTTCAGCATAATAGTATTGTCGTCGTGCTTTATAGCAAATAGAAAGTGTCATATTTTAGACTAGGTTGAGCGAGATATTTCACTTAAATAACTCCAGGTCCATCTGTAAATCCCCGAGCTACTCTGGATTGTAGGTGCCCTCACGCTAGATTGGTCATTCGCAGAACAGTTTCCGATGTAATTACTGTTAGATGCTCCCTCAAAGCACGATATTACGTACTTTGCATAGGAAATTTTGTCACGCCTTCTCGCAAATTGATTGTGTCGGTAGCCTATACCACAGTTTAGCATCGTTAGGAATGAATACGAGTACATCCGTAGCTTGGTTCAGTTGTATAAATTTTGTTGCGAAAGTTCTCCAGTTGCATTGCATCATAGTGCTTAAGCGGTGATGAGGGTGCATCAGGCCAGTTGACAGCACTGAGTTTTGCTTCAGTTATTACCAATAAATAGGTTTTAAATGAAGTCCTTAAAATATCATAGCACATTTTAGGTAGACACGTCAGTAAATAGACATATGCTAAAAATGAATGTTTTGCAGAGCATTTTCAAAGCTGTCGTTCAATTTGTATCGTAAGTGAATTTGCAACGTTCCAGGATAGAGGGCCTAGCGATCTTCAATGCGCAACGTTGTTTAGGAGGTATGGGCTGGAACAGATATATTGACCACCGATTGCCGGGCCCATGCTAACCGAGACCGTAGCTATTCCAGAAACCAAATCCAACGCATGACAGTAACGCCTGAGTTGATAGATTGTGAGCTACACCATGTAATAGAAATTTGTTCAGTCGTATAATCCGAAGGGAACCATTGCGGTTCCCATGACGGTCACTAAACGTCTAACCACAATTTATTATCAATCGCCGTCGTAAATGAATTTGTGCACTGATGAGCAGCAAAGCGACTGAAGAGTCATCCGTGTAATGTCCGAATACTGAACTCCGTCCGACTAATCCCACTAAAATGAATGCTTATGCACAACTTCCTTCCCAGAAGTACTCCTTTAACAGTTCACAGTGGTTATCCAGTAATCAGCCTTCGCCGATCGAAAACGTTTGATTATATATCATGCTAAGTAAGGTTTATGATAATAACAACTACATTTATGCTCAGGCGAGAAACTGTGCCTGTAGCGGTACAGATCAATTTGGACGGAAGGATCCATGCCCTTGCGTGGGTGACATGCATAGGTTGAATATTGCAGCACGCGTTTCGGGCATTTATGTTCTATTGGATGGTTGAGGCGAAAGTCTTATTTTGAAAACATTGGTTTTCAGATGCATTTAGACCCGTCTTGGAATAGGTCATCAGGGGATCTTCCGCATGTGAATATAATGATGATGGTCTTCAGATCAAGGTAACTGGAGGGACTGCTTCTAAATGTTTCCACATTATCACACCCCCTGAGTGTTATTGGTAGTTTATTACACATATAGCTATAACTGACAAGGAAGCAATTATAGCGAATGTTCTTTCTGGCCTTTGATGTATTCGGTGTAAAATCTTTATTGCGAGGCGCTCGAGTTGACCTATGTTGTAATTCGAGCGTAGGCAGGTCAGAATCGGTTTCTTTGTTTAGTATGTTGAAACTCAGCAACAAATTATGCAATCTTAAAATCCAAAGTGGTTCAAGTTGAAGTGTATTGCAACCTTCTCGATTACCCATAATTGTGTGCTTACCAATCAGATGTTTAGTAAATGCTCTCTACAGGTGCTCCACAGCAATTCTGTCACTCTTTCTCACATTGCCGTATATTATGCCTCAGTATTCGAGGACTGGGCGTGTGAGTTGCTTGAAAAGTTCAAGTCTAGCATGGGTTGTGTGGATTTTGTTGATGCTTGGTATTGAAAGTGTTCGAAGAAATTGAAGGTAGAAGAGTAACTAGTCGCAAGATCACGCGTGGAGAGCTGTGTAGGAATGTATTCATTGTTTAGGGCGATAGATCTTTCGGGGACAAAGCAACTTGATTTCTTAGCCCAGAGGTTCATCACACACATGTAGCCCCATGATTTAACGGAATGAGTCATGTTACATGAGCAGTAGCGTTCCGCGTACCTCATCAAGCCGAAGCTTATAGATGATCGTGATCATTTCAGCAAATAAAAAAGGTCTGCCATGTTTTGCAGATGTGGTGATGTCATTGACGTAGAGTGGAAAGTGTGGAGGACAGAGTATGCTTTCTTGAATGACCCCACCATTTATGGAAGCTGGAGAAGAACGATAAGCACCTAAGGTAACTATCTGATGACGACCACTCTAGTACGACGATACCAACCTAGTAGTGGGTCCCGGATCTCAAACTTCTCCAACTTCCGTAAGCGTCGCTTGTGAGGTACTCTGTCAATTGCTTTGGGTACGTCAAGAAACAGAATTACTACTGCATGGTAAGCATCCATCTACTCTTTAATATGGTCAAGGTAATGCAGTTGGCAGATGGTACATGATGGCTTGTCAAGAAAACCATGCTGCGAATTATTAATCACGCCAATAGAATCTACAAGATTCACCATCTCATTGCTGACAAATTTTCAAATAGCCGAACGATTATCGGAGTCTAGTTGTTTGATCGGTAGTTACCAATTGTTTGCTTGGGACCTCCTTCGTGCCGAGGCATACTGAATGACGTTTTCCATTGGTCTGGAAAGTGGCCAGATTCCAGCGGTAGAGTAAACATGCTCATCAGGAGCACTGGTGTATCAGGTCCTCCTAGTTTAATGGTGGTAGGTCGAATGCCATCAGATCCTAGGTTGGTGGATGGCCTCAATTACTTGATAGCTTGCTGGATACTGTTGAGCGAGATATCGAATCTAGTTAGGAGGTTTGGTACTGTATCCTCTATGCGCACAGGTACAGGGTCAGCTTCGAGAATTATGGTAGTTGCAAAAATGTCACTGAGCGCTTTACAGATTACAGCTAGGGTCATGGAGTGAGTGGCCCTCTCGTCAACAATTACGATAACCATAAAATAGCGGTCACTGGTTCTACGATCCAGTATTTTGACGTTCCCTTGCATTGCAGTTTGTTCGTATAGTTATAGGTTCTTCATTTTTTCATCATGTTAACTGCACATGTTTGATTCTGGTGATAAATTCGTGTATTTGTAAGCTAAGTGAAACGTCATGGGTCTTTCTGTATCTTGCAGCTAATTTTCTGGTTTTCTGGCTGATTAAATGTTCGACGGCATCTTTGGAGACATGAGGGATATGAACACATTATGGAGCAAGGATGGTTGTGGAGCGATGGATTTGTTAGTTAAACTGCTGCACAGCGGTGCATACATGGGTAGCTAGGAAAAATACAACCCAATCAGAGAAACGAATCAACTTCTGAAAGCATTCCCAGTTTATCTTATGGGTTACAAATGGCGGTGTAGATGCAAGTTTAGTGACCATTTTATTGGCGAAATTTAGTCGGGTCATTTTGTGTTCGCTGCCAGGGAGACTGTTTACCAGCTCGGTCTGTGGGTTGGGCATCCCCAAAGTGGATATTAAGTCCAATACTGTGGCGGACCTGGATGGTCTGGTAACCCATTCTATTCAGTCCCTTGCTCTGAGGGATGAAATAAAAATGGCGTGTAAGGTAGAGTTTGGGTGAAATGACCAGCGAATAATCAGGAAGTTGAAATCACCGTCATTATCATCTTGCTCTGTGGCAACCCCGATGCGAATTCAAATGCAATAGTGATGTTGATGATACTCACGTTAGGCGCATTCGATGTACCGTAGATACATCCGAGAATTATGTAAGATGAGGCAGCTGCAACTGACAGCCAGGTAGATGCAGGGACATTTTCTAACTGTGCGTGTTCCATACATTTAGCCGTAAGTGTTTTGTGCATGTATATAACGTCCCCTCCACCACTGCTGTCACAGCGATCTTTTCGAAATAGATGGTAGTTTGGAACCGTCAGAGCAGAGTCAAGCGTACTTGAAGATGCTATGTTTCCGTGACGAGGATAACTTGTGGGTCATTGAAGTGTGCACTTGTGTTTATAAAATGGAGTTTCTTGGTTATGGATCTTGCATTAAGCAGAATCGCTGCAAACGTATTAAATATTGGGGGAATATCGCTCTGTTTTATGATCGCCTGTATCTTTGGGCTCGAGAATGGTGCACATGGAGGTAAGTGGGAGTTTGGTGCGCCAGACTTAGCCATTAGACCGTTTGTTGTTAAGGGCAGCGTGACATGTTGGACAGCGACACAATTGGGGGCGCGACGGGAACAGA